TACAGTCCTCCAATCTTCCAACTGAGCAATGGAGGTGTGCAGACAAGCTTAAATTGTTCAGCCTGTGTATTGATGCGGAAGGTAATCATCAAACAACAGTTGTCTTGTAAAGCTTCAACATTCACTCGTCTACTGACCCTGGCTGGGGAAAATGTCAAGATTTGGGAAGAGCCCTTTGAGTAACTTGAGGAGCCAAAACAACACATCTTGGGCCGCAGCCAGGTATAGGAGAGGTGTGGTCTGTTGAGCACAAAATTGCCTCTCTACTCATTTCAAAGGATATTGTTCTGTTTGTTTCAACCAACTATGACCTTGGCGCATACTGGTGCAGTTTGCAGTTGAAGGTGAAGCGGCAGAGAGATGAGTTAGTTTCGTGTGTGAGTCTCTGTGTACAGATACAATTTCTTTGAATACAGTGTGCACATTTCATGTGGTTCCATGGTGTAATGGTTAGCACTCTGGACTTTGAATCCAGTGATCCGAGTTCAAATCGCGGTGGAACCTTTCTTTGAGTACGCTGAAAAGAGCCTGCTTCTACATCTCAGGAGGATCTTGTAGCAGGATCGTGGTTGCACTATAGAAGATGGAGAGTGACTTGAGAATAAGTCTATATAGTCAAGGGAATAATCTGAGTGGCGTGAGGACAACAACCTGGTCCTTAAAACCTCTAAAACCAAGGAGTTGACTGCAGGAGAACAAAGAAGGAAGTCCACCATATGTATGGAGAAATGGAAGGCTTGGAGAACTTCAAGTTTCTTGAAGTCAATATGTCAAAACATCTTACAAGGATCTCCAACACATCATACCGGGTTAAAAAGGCCCAGCAAAGACTCTACTTCCCAGAGAAACTAAAACAAGCCAGGCTCTCAGAGAAACTTTGTGAAGAAACAAGGGGATGAGTGGTAACTTGCTCACTCTGCCCTTTACCTCCACATTACATTACTGTTAAGAGCTAGATATTGAACTCTACTGGAGCTGTTTGCACTACTCTCCAGCTGCCAGCTGTCATACATTCCATGCATTCCGTTTCACAAGCTTCACATACAGATACAGCATTCCCTGGTGGTCTAGTGGCTAGGATTCGGCGCTCTCACCGCCGCGGCCCGGGTTCGATTCCCGGTCAGCGAACACTCTTTACTTACTGAATTTCATGGCCGTTTCATTCAAAACAACTCCCACATAAAACGATAGATTGTGCGCACATTGTGTGTGGTTCCATGGTGTAATGGTTAGCACTTTGGACTCTGAATCCAGCGATCCCAGTTCAAATCTCGGTGGAACCTTGCTTTGATTAGGTACATGCTTACTCAACAGACTATCGTCAGTGCCTCAGACACAATGAACATAAAAGGAAAACCACCTGGAATTTTATTTTTTAAGGGCCTCTATTGCAAAAGGTAAAGAAGAACGATTGGATCTGGTATGCGCTGCCTTTGTCAAGGTTGAAAATAGAAACTGCCGACAATGAGTACAGTACATTTTTGCCAGCCTTGGAGTGCTAAACATCCAGCAGAGTGGCGCAGCGGAAGCGTGCTGGGTCCATAACCCAGAGGTCGATGGATCGAAACCATCCTCTGCTAATTGTAAATGCTTTGGATCAGCAGATTCTATCTTTCCATTTTAACCCTGTTCACAAGGCCATATTTACATAGGATGATGCACCCGTAATCACAAGTGCTAAAGTAGCCGATGCAAATGTTGCTGCGATTAACAACCTACAGTCCTCCAATATTCCAACTGAGCAATGGAGGTGTGCAGACAAGCTTAAATTGTTCAGCCTGTGTATTGATGCGGAAGGTAATCATCAAACAACAGTTGTCTTGTAAAGCTTCAACATTCACTCGTCTACTGACCCTGGCTGGGGAAAATGTCAAGATTTGGGAAGAGCCCTTTGAGTAACTCGAGGAGCCAAAACAACACATCTTGGGCCGCAGCCAGGTATAGGAGAGGTGTGGTCTGTTGAGCACAAAATTGCCTCTCTACTCATTTCAAAGGATATTGTTCTGTTTGTTTCAACCAACTATGACCTTGGCGCATACTGGTGCAGTTTGCAGTTGAAGGTGAAGCGGCAGAGAGATGAGTTAGTTTTGTGTGTGAGTCTCTGTGTACAGATGCAATTTCTTTGAATACAGCGTGCACATTTCATTTGGTTCCATGGTGTAATGGTTAGCACTCTGGACTTTGAATCCAGTGATCCGAGTTCAAATCTCGGTGGAACCTTTCTTTGAGTACGCTGAAAAGAGCCTACTTCTACATCTCAGGAGGATCTTGTAGCAGGATAGTGGTTGCACTATAGAAGATGGAGAGTGACTTGAGAATAAGTCTATCTAGTCAAGAGAATAATCTGAGTGGCGTTAGGACAACAACCTGGTCCTTAAAACCTCTAAAACCAAGGAGTTGACTGCAGGAGAACAAAGAAGGAAGTCGACCATATGTATGGAGAAATGGAAGGCTTGGAGAACTTCAAGTTTCTTGAAGTCAATATGTCAAAACATCTTACAAGGATCTCCAACACATCATACCGGGTTAAAAAGGTAAGCATCAAACAACAGTTGTCTTGCAAAGCTTCAACATTCACTCGTCTACTGACCCTGGCTGTGGAAAATGTCAAGATTTGGGAAGAGCCCTTTGAGTAACTCGAGGAGCCAAAACAACACATCTTGCAGTTGAAGCTAAACCAGTTCAACAAGTCACACAATGGTGTCTGGCTAATGATAATAGGCTAATTATCATGCTAAAAGGGATACATCCAAGTGTCCCAAAACATTTCAGAAACTGTTTCTGTCAGAAGCATTCAACAGGCTCCTTGATGTCATCATCGGTGCTGGTCCTAAGCATTTTTAACTTACACACATTTTATCATGCAGCCTACCACACAAATGTCACATGTTTATATCTCTGAAAGCTATACTTGTATATGTTTAAACGTCATCATCTCATCCTTAGGATTAGTTAACTAACAAAGGTTAACTGTTTTTATAACCTAAGGCCTTCTCTGAACTTCCTCTAACCTCGGTGTCAGCTCACTTAAAATGAATACATCTATCGATGATTCAGAACGACCATTGTCTCTCTAACGTGTTTGACCCAACTCAGTAACACACATCATATGGAATACCATGTGATCTCTAATGAATATCATAAATACGCTGTATTAAACATTGTGCTATAACAATAGGGTGGTGGGACAAGTGTTCAGTGTGTCTGGCTTAGCCTATTATCATACTAAAAGGAATGCATGCAGCACCCCCTTCCAGGTGTCCCGATGCAACAAGTATCTGAATCCTATTTACATTGTACACTTGAGTCACACGATACTACCTGGCTTAGCCTTATCATAATAAAAGGAATACCTACACCCACACATGCAGGTAAACCAGTTCAACAAGTCACACAATCCTGCCTATTATCATAATAAAAGGAATACCTACACCCAAACATGCAGATAAACCAGTTCAACAAGTCACACAATGCTGTCTGGCTAATGCTAACAGGCTGATTATCATACTAAAAGGGATACATCCAAGTGTCCCAAAACATTTCAGAAACTGTTTCTGCAAGAACCAGAGTTAAATGTATTTTTGTAGGTAATTAACTGATAAGATACAAGTAGAGTTTAACATATTGCTACAGATATAATTTCACATACTTTTATCAGAAATAATGTATTAATTTATTCAATTCTGGTCTTAATTCAAAAATCTTAACAGAGGACACATTTAGAACTTAGTTATATTGAATTATCAAAGACATTATATTTCTATAAGTGTTTTATTTATATATGTGAACATATAAGAAGGGTAATCTCCATGACAGGTGCTTATATTATTTTGACTACCACACTGACCCTGTGTTGTAATATTACAACAAAGACATAAGTTGCTCAAAATCTAATTTGATGAATGTATTCCACAATAACTACATATGTACATGTTCTAGACATTGTAATAATCACACAAAAAACACTTGAGGCATTTTATTTACTTGAATCTCACAAATCCAGTCCAATAAAACAAAGAGATGTTGCTCGTTTGAAGATTCAGAAGTTGTGTGAGTGTATGCTCCAGAGGGCAGGACCTATAAACACATGTACTACCCAATAGCATTGTGAGGCTGAACAAAAGGACCTTTTGACCATGTAAACGTAGTCTTTAAAAAAACAAATACATTTACTGACTTTTTTAGGGTAGCTTAAAGTCATGTTGTAAAATAACAACAGTACCTTACAGGGTTAACATCTTCTCATGAGTTGTTCTGTAGATGTTGGAGTTTCTTTAGGCGGCACTCCTTCCTGTGTCTGTTTAGCCATGGAGGCTGTCACTGCTCAGGAGCATTTCTGTTAACCTCAACTCATATTTCTCTGCATTGAAATGTAAACGTTGCTCTAAATATTTGTTGAATATTGATATTGATGTATTTGTATGTTGTTGTTTCTCTTGTAAAGCACGAGAGAGAGAAAGCACCAGAGCTTCTTTCATTGTAGATATTTTATTCTAAAGGTCTTTTATTTGTGTCTAAGTCTCAATGTGTTGAATGCACAAATGACATTTTGAAGAAGGAAACCACACACATCAAAAGAAAAGCTAGCAGGTTGAGTTTGTAATAAATGGGGTTTATATTTTGAAGATGTGAGATGAGTGCCACCTTTAAGTGTCTGTACAAAATAAATTGTTGGGGTTGTTCGTGTTGATAAAAGAGCTAAGAGGAAAACATCTCAGTCTTATGTTTTTTTAATCTAAAATCTATCTCTAAATTATTTTTCTGAAACAAGATATTTTCATTTTAAATTTATTTTTAGGATTAAGAAAATAATAATGAATTCATATTGTTTATTATTTTCTGAAAAAAATGTGAACATCTTTTAGTAAACCCTGCACATGTTTCGTCAGGTTGGTGTAGATTTCCCTTCATTTGCATGTGTTTTGCAAACACACCCTGCCTCTCACACAAAGCTTTGTTGAAAGCAGTTAAACCTGTTCCCCTTGATTCCTGCTCCCAAACACACTGAGCTACACCCTATCAAGGCATTTGAATGTTCCCTCCCCTTCAAAGGTTGGCAACATGTTAAAAGAGAAAGCTGTTTCCTCATTCCTCATTCCTCATTGAGCGAGCAAAAGCAGGAGGAGAGGAGATTTGTTGTCTGTCAGAGATTGTTTCTGTTCAGAGAAAGTGGATATTTTACCTTCTGTCTGCAGTCCGTAACTATCACTGAGAGGTGAGATAGTGCAGAAAGGAGTTCAGCTGGACCGGGAAACCATGTCTTGTTCCATCTGTCTGGATCTAATGAAGGATCCGGTAACTATTCCCTGTGGACACAACTACTGCATGGACTGTATCAAACACCACTGGGATGGAGAGGATAGGAAGAAAGTCCACAGCTGCCCTCAGTGTAGAAGGATCTTCACACCGAGGCCTGTCCTGCTGAAGAACACCTTGTTAGCAGATTTAGTGGAGAAGCTGAAGAAGACTGGACTTGGAGAAGATCCTGCTGATCACTGCTATGCTGGAGCTGAAGATGTGGCCTGTGATGTCTGCACTGGGAGAAAACTCAGAGCCTGTAAGTCCTGTCTGCAGTGTCTGGCCTCTTATTGTGACAAACACCTCCAGCCTCACTTTGACGCAGCTACGTTTAAAAAACACAAGCTGGTGGAGCCCTCCAAGAAGCTCCAGGAGAACATCTGCTCTCGTCACGACGAGGTGATGAAGATGTTCTGCCGCACTGATCAGCAGTGTATCGGTTATCTCTGCTCTGTGGACGAACACAAAGGCCACGACACAGTGTCAGCTGCAGCAGAGAGGACTGAGAGGCAGAGAGAGCTGGAGGGGAGTCGACTAAACATCCAGCAGAGAATCAAGGACGGAGAGAAGGAGGTGAAGCTGCTTCAGCAGGAGGTGAAGGCCGTCAATGGCTCTGCTGATAAAGCAGTGGAGGACAGTGAGAAGATGTTCACTGAGCTGAACCGTCTCATGCAGAAGAGAAGCTCTGATGTGAAGCAGCAGGTCAGATCCCAGCAGAAGAGAGAAGTGAGTCGAGCCAAAGAGCTTCAGAAGAAGCTGAAGCAGGAGATCTCTGAGCTGAAGAGGAGAGACGCTGAGCTGAAGCTGCTGTCTCACACAGAGGATCACAACCAGTTTCTGCACAGCTACCCCTCACTGCCAGCCCTCAGTGAAGCTACACACTCCTCCAGCATCAACATCCATCTTCTGAGCTACTTTGAGGACTTGACCGCGGCCCTGTCAGCAGTCAGAGACAAACTACAGGACGTCCTGAGAGAGGAATGGACAAACGTCTCATCGACTGAAGTGGATGTTTTACTGTCATCAGCAGAGCCCACCACCAGAGCTGGGTTCTTAGAATATTCACAGGAGGTCACTCTGGATCCAAACACAGCACACACGCTGCTGGTATTATCTGAGGGGAGCAGAAAAGCAACACTCATGGAACAACAACAGTCTTATTCTAGTCACCCAGACAGGTTCACTGATTGGCCTCAGGTCCTGAGTAGAGAGAGTCTGACTGGACGTTGTTACTGGGAGGTGGAGTGTACAGGGAGAGCAGTTGGTGTAGCAGTCTCATACAAGAATATCAGCAGAGCAGGGGATGGGTATGAATGTTTATTTGGATACAATGACAAATCCTGGGCGTTAGAGTGTAAACAAAACAGTTATTCATTTAGTTACAACCGTATCAACACACCCGTCTCAGGTCCTCGGTCCTCCAGAGTAGGAGTGTACTTGGATCACAGAGCAGGTATTCTGTCCTTCTACAACATCTCTGAAACCATGACTCTCCTCCAAAGAGTCCAGACCACATTCACTCAGCCGCTACATGCTGGAGTTTTGGTTTATGGTGGAACCACAGCTGAGTTGTGTAAACTGAAATAGCCTGAAGTCATTTGAGGAACTCTTCTACTTCTTAAACTCATTGTGTCCATCATTGTTGCTGAGAGCTGATTGTTCATGTCTTCACTGCACAGAGACCAGCTGTCAATCAAACATTATGGGATGTGCTTTAACATCTTCTCATGAGTTGTTCTGTAGATGTTGGAATTTCTTTAGGCGGCGCTCCTTCCTGTGTCTGTTTAGCCATGGAGGCTGTCACTGCTCAGGAGCATTTCTGTTAACCTCAACTCATATTTCTCTACATTGAAATATAAACTTTGCTCTAAATATTTGTTGAATATTGATTTATTTTTATTTTGGTGTTTCTGTTGTAAAGCTTGAGAGAGAGAAATCACCTTCCCTGACATTTACTCAATCTGACAGAACACTCAGTACTGAATGTGTCAGAGATGATTGGGAGACATCCCTCAAATAAAAACGAATAAAAGAACAGGGGGAAGACCACGATGCAGCATTGCAAATGTCTTCTACCGTCATTCCTCCGTGCAACGCCCTAGAGGTTGAAATTCCTCTGGTGCTGTGCGCTTTGATGTTTTCTGGGGGATCCAACCCAGAGGAAACATACGCCTGTGACACAGCTTCACACAACCAGTGTGACAGGCGCTGTGCCGACAGAGGCTGCCCTATTGAGCGCTCTCTGTAATGCACAAACAGGCGCTGGGACCTGCGCAACGTGGCTGTGCGTGCAATATAGCATGACAGCGCACGTACGGGACATAGGAGATGAGATGTGGCTTCTTCCTCCGATGTGTGAGGAGGAGGGAAGAAACCATCCAAAGTGATCACTCTCGATCTAAAAGAGCTTGTGATCACCTTTGGCATAAAAGCCGGGTTAGGGCGCACAACAGCTGAGCTACCATCTCCTTGTATTCGTATACATGACGGAGCCACAGATAGAGCAGACAATTCACTCACCCTTTTTGCTGATGTCAGCGCCAAGAGCAGAGCCACTTTGGCTGACAAAAACTTTAGGGGAACCTGATCTAAAGGTTCGAATGGAGCTTTACTTAGTGCGCATAACACCAACGCCAAATCCCATTGAGGCGCCAAAGTGCGTGACACCGGTCTGAGTCTCTGTACTCCCCGTAGAAACCGTGTTGTCAGAGGGTGACTAAACACCGTGCTGACACCAAACCCTTCGTGGCAAGATGATATGGCAGCCGCGTACGTTTTTATCGTGCTATAAGCCAATTTTCTGTCCAGTAATGTCTGGAGAAATGACAGTATGTGAGACAGGGGGCACCTGACGGGGTCAAGGCTTTTCCCTACACACCAGCGCTGGAACGCTGTCCATTTGATTGTGTAGGATGCCGTGGTGGACGCCGCTCTTGAACCCTGAATGGTACTGATAACTTTTTTAGAGAGGCCCAGCCCCTCTAAATGTTCCCGTTCAGGGGCCATGCCCACAAACGTTGGCCCAATACTGGGTGACTGCTGATCGCTCCTTCCACCTGGGAGAGAGCGTCCCTGCGCCACGGTATTTCCCACGGTCTCCCTGACAGCATCCGCCGTAGGCATGGAACCCAGGAGGCTCCCGTGCGTTCCGGTGCTATTAAAATTGCTGTCAGTCTCTCCTCCTGCACTCGGTCCAGGAACCGAGGAATCAGAGGGACTGGTGGGAAAGCGTATAACAACCCCTTGGGCCACGGCCTGTGTGCGAACGCGTCCACGCCCAGGGGGGGGTGGTCCTGCGTTCTCATGGAGAACCAGAGGGCACACTGCGCGTTCTCGCGTGCAGCGAACAGATCCACCTCCGCTCTCCCGAACCTGCTCCATACCTTACCGATCTCCTCAGCCTCCACTGAGGACATGGTGTCGGACTGCTCAGATATACGCACCATGGAATTTGCCAGCAACGCAATATTGTTTGCCGCCGCTGACGCCTGGAAAGCACACTGATGCATCTTGTCGGTCTGTCGGGCGACAAACTGATCCCTGGAGGCAGTCAACATGGGTCGCCGTCCGGCAACCGTGCTGGCCTGCTTAGCTCCAAAAAACTTTGTGAGGTTCGGCTCCAGCGGAGGCACGGTCGGAAACCCTTTATCCGTTAATCCCTCTACCCGTGTAAGGGGAGTGTACGTGGATATAGGAGCCCTCAATGCCATGGGGTTCGCTGCCACTCCCTCCTGGTCTTTCCGGATGGGCGGAAAGCGTGGCCAGATCGGATCACTCTTGACCCTCTGATCCTGGGAGAACACGTGTCCTCTGATCCTGGGAGAACATGTCATCCGAATACGTGCTCACCTGAGCTGGGGGAACGAGGAGATCTCGCCAGGCGGCTGCCTTAGCGATAATTCCCGGAAGCTCCTGGAGAATTCCGCCAATCGACGGCAGAGCCGTGGTGGCGGAAAAAGAGACCACTGGTCCGTGTGCCGGACCTAGACCGGGCCCCAGCTCTGCCTCCTCCGTCCGGAGGAGGGAGATGATGGGGGAACCACCTGGTGATCCATGAATGGAGGGGGCGTAGTCATCCGACTCGTGCCCTCCACTCGGACCCAGGAAATCTAGGGACTCGTCCACGGAGTAATCCTCCTGAATTATCCAGTCATCCTCGACCTCAGCGGCAGCGAGAGCGTCCGCTCTCTGCTGTCTGAGGGCCAGAGGGAGCCGGGCACATAACGAGCAAGACACCTGTAGGGCTAGAGCAGCTCTCGCCTGCTCTATCCCCAAGCAGGACTCACACTGTGAGTGTTTGTCAAAACTCATTATATAGCCCGTCCCACATGAAAGGCAATTCCGGACGCGGCCCTGACTTACCTGCCCCATCTCCATCTTTCCACTAGAAACAAAGCGTTTTACGGGAGGAATCTTTGTTTTCTAATGTGCCTGCTACAGTGCTTCTGCTACTACGGAGTGCTGAAGAAAAGTGGTAGCAGTTGGACGGGCCTACTTCCTATTTATACGGAAGGGAGGCCGAAGGTGGGGCCCACGTCATAGCTGGGCGTGGATTAAGTCTGTCAGTGCTGCACACGTGCAGTGGGATTACCCAATAGCGATAGCCTTAGAGGGCGAAGCCTTATATGAAATAGAACTCTCATTACAGGAACAATACCGGAAACAGACGTAGGAAAGATCCTCAGCTCGCTGATTGGATGTGTTCAGGGGCGGTTATAGGGGGGGCAGGGGGGGCCAGTGCCCCCCTAACACTGACCTCTGACCCCCCTGTGGCCCCCCTAACTATGAAAAGGTTTTTTTTTAAATGTATATTTTCTGGTACTCGGTTTGCAAAAAACCGCAGGATTTTGTTGCTGTAATGTGAGATTGTGCAGACACCCTTATGTAAAGTAGAGATGTAACTGTTCATTGCCTTTATTTTTATATAAATATGGTGTTAGTGCAAAAATTGCACCATAACTTAAGCTGAAGCTAACAGTAATAACTATAAGATCTATCTGAAATAAATAAGTGTACTGAAACAAATACCAATAACTGTATTGCATTGTTTTCTTATGCGCAATTACTTCATACTGTCTAGTTCTCTTTTTCGTCCTGTATTTATTGTGCCCCTCTCAGAAAATAACTGGCCCCCAAGTGGCCCCCCCAGTCAAATTGGAACCGCCACTGGATGTGTTAGCCACAATGCACGTTGGGATATGGTGTTTATGCAATGTGAAATCCGAAAACATCTCAAATAATCAAAATAATACTTTATTCCGAGTGTGCTTGCTTTTCTCTTTGGAATTCATCACATAACGGCATTGTAATACACGGTTTGGCTGCATTACATATTACACATCTGCTGTAGTTCTTTATTTATAGAGCCCTGATGAGAAGAATTCTGGACAAACTTGAAGAACTGCCACCGAAACTGTATATGTGACGTGGATCATAAATATATCAACAATTAAACAACATCTTACATTTATTTTCACAGTATACGTCTCCTTGCAGTATCAACACTAATTCGGCTGACTTTTATATTTGATCCAATTGGTAGATAGGATATATTTACACCATAACGGTGCACAGCTGATAGAAAAAGACTTGTAGTTTTTAAAGATATTACTGATTTTCTTTGAATATAATAATGTAAATACTAAGTTGAGAGAATAGTCAGGGGATGTGGGTGATGGGAGACACACCTATGGATTCAGAATTTCAATAGGTTGCCATTAAATGACGGATATACCTTTCTGTCTGTGATGTTTTAAAAATCAGATATCAATGTGTAGAAGTAAAACATGAGTATTCACCTATTGAGAGTAGGAGTGCACCTGGATCACAGAGTAGGTATTATGTCCTTCTACAGCATCTCTGAAACCATGACTCTCCTCCACAGAGTCCAGACCACATTCACTCAGCCACTACATGCTGGAGTTACATTACATTACATTTCATTTAGCTGACGCTTTTATCCAAAGCGACTTACAATTACCGATTACCGGGACATTCTCCCTGGAGTAACTAAGGGCTAAGTGCCTTACTCAAGGGCACACTAGTGGTGGTGTTCCTGGCGGGATTTGAACTCAAAACCTTCCGATGTTCAGCCCACCTCACTATCCATTAGACCACCACTACTAGTTTTGCTTTATGGTTATGGAACCACAGCTGAGTTGTGTAAACTGAAATAGCCTGAAGTCATTTGAGGAACTCTAGTACTTCTTAAACTCATTGTGTGTCCTTCATTGTTGATGAGAGCTGATTGTTCATGTCTTCACTGCACAGATATCAGCTGTCAATCAAACATTATGGGATGAGCTTTAACCCTGTAAAGCTCATATATAGAAAAACCCTTCAGATGTTGTTGGAGGGAGCCTATGGAGCAGAAATGAAAAAGTTTTCACATTTTTTACGTTTTGGTAAGTTTTTAGGGAAATGTTGTAATATTGCAACGTTGGCCTTAGGTGGGAGCAGAATTCCTGTATTTCTACTCACAAAAAAAACTGAGAGCCTGTAAATCCTGTCTGCAGTGTTTGGCCTCTTATTGTGACAAACACCTCCAGCCTCATTATGACGCAGCTACGTTTAAAAAACACAAGCTGGTGGAGCCCTCCAAGAAGCTGTAGTGCTGAGATAGATTTGGGTATCATCAGCATAGCAGTGGAAGTTGAGTCCGTAATGGCAGATGATCTGGCCGAGGGGTACCATGTAAATAGTGAACAGGAGGGGGCCAAGCACAGAGCCTTGGGGGACGCCATGATTGACTGGGGCTGGAGGGGAATTCGAGCCATTGATGGTAACAAACTGTTCCCTGTTGTGGAGGTAGGATGCGAACCGGGAGAGGGCAGTGACACCTAGGATGTCAGAAAGGTCGTTGAGGAGGATGGTGTGGGAGATAGTGTCAAACGCTGCAGAGAGGTCCATGAGGATGCTGAGGCGGCCAGAGTCAGCAGCAATGAGGAGATCGTTGATGATCTTGATGAGGGCGGTCTCCGTGCTGTGATGAAGTCTGAAGCCGGATTGGAGGGGTTCATAGAGCTCATACCCAGCTAGACATTTTTGGTTCTAAAAACATTCTGAGAATGTTAGATTCATTGTTCTAGGAATGTTTTCAGCGGGAAGTTTCCTTTTGGTTCCCAGAACGTTATTCTGAAAGGTAGGATAACGTTCTCTAAAAACGTTTTTAAAATGTTTGTTGATAACCTTTGTAGTGGAAATTTTATTATATCCTGATATGTTCAAAGTAACCAAATGCTTCTCATTTGGTTACTTTGCTGTTTTCCTCTATCTTCTCTACTTCAAGGCCACAGAGCTGTTTTGGCTACTGAATTGACTCACACAAAGTCACACGAGAACTTCTACAGCTCAAGGCCAGGTGTCTAATAACAATGTGACCGTGTGAAGATTTCTTCTCCTCCCCACCTTTTTACTCTCCCTTTATATTGCTTTGCTATTATATTAAACTGCGCACACTCACGCAGACTATCCTATACTCTGTGAGACCTGTGTCTATATTTTATTGTATCTGATGTTTGTTTGAGGCCTCGAATAAACATCACCAGAAAGACAACTCTGTTGGATTCACCATTTATTTGTTTTCTGACTTGTACTCTACAGTATTGGGGTTTTTAGATTTCCATAACAATTGGCGCTGCGAGCAGGGTCTCTGCAAGTTCGATTGGGAACACCTCCGGATGCTGGTTGGTAGCTACAGGATCCTCGGATTCCCTCTACCCCGCGACAAAAACAGTACGGGACGAGAGGACCAGCGGCGGGGGTGGAACTGATTGACTTCACGAGACCAAACGGACTTAGAAAGGCTTTCCAATACTGGGTGAGATGTACAATGTCTAAATTGTTTAAAGTTAAACGTAATTAAAACTCCATGACGTTTATGAAAGGGGCTGCTCGAAGATAGGGGTTATCCCGTCGTAGATAGTGGGTTTACGATTAGTTTTTTACGTGAGTTGTACTGTGAAACAAACATCACATAGGGTTTATCCCGTCGTAGAAAGTGGGTTTACGATTAGTTTTTTACGTGAGTTGTACTGTGAAACAAACATCACATAGGGGTTATCCCGTCGTAGATAGTGGGTTTACGATTAGTTTTTTACGTGAGTTGTACTGTGAAACAAACATCACATAGGGGTTATCCCGTCGTAGAT